ACTGAACTTGGTAGAATCAGTATAAGTAAAACCAGTAACTTCATCATGACTAAGTTTTGATTTTCAACTACTAGTCATATATTTATGTGAATGTATTCAATGTCTCAGTACATCCCAAAGGTACAAGTCTGAACTTAATATTAGAAACAATTAAAATCTGCCTAAACTGGTTTGGCTCAGTGGATAGAGCGTCGGCCTGTGGACTGAAAGGTACCAGGTTCGATTCTGGTCAAGGGCATGTACCTTGGTTGCGGGCACATCCCTGGTAAAAGGTGAGCAGGAGGCAGCTGGTAGATGTTTCTCTTTCATCGATGTTTCTAGTTCTCTATTCCTCTCCCTTCCTCTCTGTAAAAAATCAATAAAATATTTTTTAAAAATCTGCTTCCTGGCAGTCTCAAATATCTTAGAACAGAAAGAAGCCATAGATCCTCCTACTCACCCACAGAAGGATAACCATAAGGGGAGCTATAGAAGCAAAATGAGATATAATACATTAAGGTCAATGTGAGGTTGTTCAGCTTGTCACCCCTCCTCAGAGTCACTAGCCTTTTAAATGTAGAACTACTCATTGTAGAGAGCATACCTGACTGTCTTTTTTAACAAGTGCCTATAATCCTTTGTAATTCTACAATGAAAATAAGGCATAATTAGATGATCACATTAATTATAAGCAAATTTTTCAATGGGGAAAATTAATTCAACATGAAATTTAAGAAATGACAAATCGGTAAAAAGAAGACTTTCTCCAAAAACATTTTATAGAAACAAGATCATAGAATATATTTGCAAGTCATCTTAATACACTGATGAGTGTCTCAAATTCTTAATCTATTTTATTTTAATATCTTTACATTTTAAATAGGCAGATCTTAATTATTTTAATTAGTTTTACAATCAAAATGACTATTTTCAGGCTTTTAATAATTCATTTAGAAAAAGTTCAGCTTATATAAATTAAGCTATTATATAATGTGATTTAAGTGTGTATTTTTACAGCTTAAAAACCATTTCTCTGGTGGAATGACAAAAATTTGTTTATTTAAAAGTATGTTTTTCCAGTTTAATAAAGATCCTCATCTTTCTATAGAAATGAAGAAAATCAATTCAGTGGTTCTTGACTGGAAATTCTGCATCACTGTCTTCAGGCACCACTCTGGACCTGCCCAATCAGAAATTCTGAGGTTGGGGCCCAGTAGTCAGTGCCAACAAACTCTCCAGGTGGTTATTTTATTCTGAAGAATATCTTTGGATTAAGCCCACCTGGTATAACACAAACATATGATCTTGGACTTCACTCACTAAGCTCTACAGCAGCACATGGGAAAACACTCCATATGGAAGAGCAGGGAAGAATTTCTATGTATAAGAAGAAACAAGATCTATTTTCATTAGAAAAGCCTCCAGCAACTTAATTTTTCATTATTCTCCTTTTCCTTTGAATTGCTTCAAATATTCCTTACTGATTACCATCATGAAAATATAATTTACATGAGCACAGTATGAAAATTCAAGTTTTGAAGTTTCCAATTACAGTATTATATGATTGTGAATGTACTTTCTCTGTTGCATTTTCATATCACATATTCAAAGCTGTTTACTAGCGGCAACATTTTTTTAGACCAACGCCACCCATTAATGTAGATCATTCTGCTCCTTCCAGGAAACTAGTCATCCCCCAGTTCAAAACTTCATATGGTATTTTCTACAAAAATGTGTTGTATCCGTTATTGATATGAGCAGTTAATGACCCACTCTGGCAGGCATCTCTTTAACTGGCCTTCATATTAGGGCTTTAACAGAAGGAAGTAGAGGACTGGGGCTAACACAGAAATTATTATGTTGCAAGCTGAGCACTGAATTAAAATCTCATCCTGAGGCATCATTAGAGGGAAAGCCTGAGGAAATGAAAGAACTGTCTGTACTTTTAAACTTCCAAAATACTTGAAGAAGTTTTAGAATAATCATTTTTGATGCTTTTAATGTTATCAAGGATGGGATTTAAGTGCTTTATTAATTCCCTTGATTTGCTGCCAAATATTAAAGGCAATTCATGATTACTGAGTTAATATTTTTGATTATAAAAATCCACTATGAAAAGAAAACTAGAAATGATGTATAAAATATTAGAATGTACTTATAAGAACAGAAAGTTTGGACATGGGTTTAAAATTTATCTGAGAGTATTTATTACAAGGTTTATAAAATATCTTTGTGTCTATTAATATTGGAACTATTGCTTTATCCTTAAGTTACAAAGATTGTGTTTTTCATTTTTTAAACTCTTAAACTTCCCAGCCAAAATCCTAACACACGATGTGACTTATTTCATCTTACTTCCCCAACCAGCTAACAAAATCTCTGTCTTCTCAGACCCTGGAGTCTGGAGGACCCAGTTATTAATTCCTTACTATCCCTTCCTGAAATTCTCTGGTTTGCTGACATGTTAATAAGACCCCGAGAATGTTCTAAAGAAAGCATAATGACCACTCAATGATTGTGTCCTGAACTTCCAAGTCATTTTTTTCCTCTCCCAGAATTTAGTTTCAACTAAAATGAATTCCATCCTCAATGTGTGTATAACTCCTTGGGCAGGCTTTGTTCTGTTATCATCAAATATAAATATAGAAAGCCATAGAGATTGTTCTGAAATCCTAATTCAAGTTACCTTTGCCAGCATACCAAATGCCCCAGGGTGGATGTATTAAAAGCTCTGAAAAGATTCTTCAGCCAAATGGACATGTTTTATTCAGGATCCCCAAACAAAATACTTATTCAGCTCGTCCACATTACCTTTGAAGGTGTGTCATTCTTTCCTTCTCTCCTTCACCCTTTCAGGCATTCCCTGCCTCGCCTGCACTCCCTCCTGCTGGAGGGCTTCAGTGGTCTGAGGAACTCCGTCTTCCACCACCCCCAGACTGGAAGCAATGCCTCCTCCTCCTTCGGGCTCATCAATTCTTCCCCAGGGAAACTCACTTTATCCCTCTGATTCAGATGATGGCCCTCACCTATATCTTTAAGGGTCCTAGCCTCTCTATTGCAGCTATTATTCCAGATGCCATTTACATTTAACTACGTACATTATTATTATTATTATTATTATTATTATCTGTATCCATCACTTGGCAATCCTTATGTCAGAGATCATGCTGGTTTTATTTTCCCATTATTAACCTCAATCCCATTATGTGCCTACCACACACACACAAAAAAAGGAACACTCACTCCATCTGTCAATTGAATGACAATAAATGAATGAGCACCCAAAATATATAAATACTGGCAGGTGGCCAAAGGGTTGAACCCATGAGTAAGCACAGACCATTTCTTCCTGAACTCTGCCAGTAGTTGGCCTTTATACTGGCCCAGATTCCTGAATAATCTTTATAAAACACTGGTACACAAACACACACATGTGTTTGCATGAGCCCAGATTCCTATATAATCTTTATAAAACACTGGTACACAACACACACATGTGTTTCTGTGAGCATGCACACACACAGGTATCAGTGTTTTGGGTGGTTAAGACTATTACATTCAACAGTGATAAAGGAAGGATTTATTAAAAATCTCTGAGACTTAATGAATTATTCAACATTAGGATCCTGAAGAGAGGTCAAGGATTAGCTGGTTCCAAGATGCTGGAGGAAGGTGGTGGAAACCCGTGTCCATGCTTGCAGGCAACAGATTTCTGATAACTCACACATTCCCTTTGGCAGTCTTTCAAGATATGGTGAACAAGAGCAATGAGATTCAATTAGAATGAAATAGCTACCATTTCCCTGTAAGTTTTAATATGCATTTACTATTACATCCTAAATTAAAGAAATAAATAAAGCCATGTTTTTCAGAGAGAAAATCTACTTCACACTAGCTTTTAACCCTGAGCATCCTATCCAGTTCTTAGTTTCTTCATAGGGAAAATGGGAATAATGCTGGCAAACTCCACTGAGAAATAAGAGATCTGATATAGGAAGCCTGCAGCCCTGTGCACAGAGTGTGTGCTTGCTTCTGCTCTCTCCCTGTCTGCCTCCTGGTAAAACTGCATGGTTCACATTGAGAGCTTCTAGCTTAGCTCAGTATCTGGGTGATGTGATTATGCTAATAGTTATTTGTCTTAACTTAAAGAAATTAAAAGTAACTTTGAAAGGGAGAGAGTGTTTTTCTTTCCTTTCTCAACAACAAAGCAACCCAAATTTGCATCTGAAATAGATACAAAAATACATGTCTGGTTATAAAACCATTTTGGATTTTGTGTTCTGCTGTGCTTTCACATGGGAAATATTTTTTCAAGTGGGAAAAATGAAAGTACCATTTTTTTAAGGACTTTCTCTTTCACACACACACACACACACACACACACACACACACACACACATTTTCTCATTATTCTCCTTCCTCCACAAGACATACCCTTCATTTCTATACTTCTTCCGAAGTGCAGAATGCAGTTGCTCTCAGAACCTCTAAAGAATGTACTAGTAGTAAAGCTCCAGTTAAGTCCCGCCATTGTCTGGTCACAGGGTTTTTCATTTTGTCCAAAGCCGCTTGCAGGTCTTGTAACACATCTCTGTAGCTATTTCCGTAGTGAGCACCCCAAGCATAGAGAAAATCATAAGCAGGTTTCCACATCATCTATAAAAGGGAAAAAAATAGACTGGATTAGTATGGAAGGAAAACAGGGAGTAAAATAGATGCCGAAAAGGGTTTAAAAGCCTCCTAGGACTTAAAAGAAAACGAAATAGTAATTATACATGGACTTATTTAATGTCATAGAAAACATGTTTAATAACTATCAGTTTCCTATTATAGCCTCACGACTCTAAACCAAGGACTATAAGCAGGGTCTTATTTCCTCTTGATCCGCCACCTATACATTGCACCTTGCCTTGAGGTGAATATAAAATTATTTATGCAATATTTTGATGATAACATGTTATTGAGACAATCTTTTCATGCTCTGAGACACTTTTAGGCTTAAAATAATAATTCTTTTACTGTTATATGTATCTGTGTTGAGCTTTATGACCACATATCATAAGGAGATGTACAGTATTTCAATGCTTAAAGTCATTTTATTCAAGCAAGTCTATAAAGAAGGGAAAATGTAGCTGCATGACCACGTCAAAGGGAAAGCAAAAATCTAATTAAAAATGTAATTTAATAATACATTTTATGCCCAAAAGAAAGATCAATATTCAACACTTCATTATGCTTTCCCTCATTACCCACCCAAACCAGTGACATCATTGTTTCCATAGAAATAAATGCACGTCAGAGAGGATCTTCATGCACAGGAGAATGTGTAATGGTAACCAGGGCAACCAGGCTGAGAGAGAATAGAGACAAAGGCTGACCAAATAAGACAAATTGTATAATACTCACACACAGAGACACCTTAAAATCAATTTTCTCTAGGAAAACAACAAAATGAACCATCCAGTTATAATTGGAATCTTTGGAAAATAATAAACTTTATTACTTGCTACTTATTTGGGCTCACTAAGCTAATTAATTTGTAATGTTATCACTTGCAAAATGCAGGAACACAGACTGAGCTAAACATTATGCAGAGTTGCTTTCTTAAAATAGGGCTCCCATTGACAGTAATATCAAATAAAGTAGGGCCTTGGGATATAATTGTTCACCCCCCTCTGATATCCCCAATATATGCTACGATGTAAGTTAAAAGAATGAAAGACCTATATAAGGAGTATCATTATGTTTCAAGTCAATCTATACAAAAGGCCATTCATTAGGCTCAAAAGATCATTTGAAGTTATTTGTCCACGCTGGCATTACTTGGGTATCATGAACATCCATATTTTTACAAAATTTAATTCTGCAAAGTACAGAAAGGAAGACAATTATCAACTTAGAAAAATGTGGATAGATTATTTCATCCTGACCTTAATTAAGACTTCTCAAAGTGTAAAAAGACTTCTCAGAGGTCACCTCAATGTCTCTGAAATGCAAGGAGGGATATTGCCCTAAACTCATTGGAGATTCCCTAGAGTCTATGCCCTAAGCGGCCTAGAAACGGATACAATTGCAATGGACTGAAAACACTAGGAAAATGGTAAACTTCATGATCTATACTAAAATATGAGCATATTTTGCATGCTATTTTTTCCTCTTTGCAGCAAACTAGACATGAATATTTCTTCAGTGCTAAATTTGATTTTCTATATCTAATATCATTGGTTGCTTACAACACAGATGAAGAAAAGCACTATTGTAGCACAGATACAATGGAACTATTCAAAATACATTGCCATTCATTGTGTTCTTTTATTTCACTTTTTAAACCAATTAATTATTTCACTTTTTAAACCAAGAATTATCGAATACCTAGCAATGTAAGTGATTTTGTTACACAAAGGGATAAAATTATTACTAAAGTACGGCTCTTGTTTTTAGAAGCTTATAACAGAGAAGGGAGATGGATACTTGAACAAGTAAGTGCCCAATGTATAAAATACAGTTGATAGTTAATAACAACTAAGAAAATGCAAAGATTACTTGAATATTTTAATTCAGTGTGAGATAGAAATGAGAGTTCCATTAACTTAGGACCTCTATGGTGTAACAGAAAGAGAAATGGGTTTTGATGTCATACTACCAAAACCTGCCTTCACATCTGCATTCCATTACCTATTGAATGGGTCAATGTGAGTAAATTGATCAAATTATCTGGTTATTTTAATCCATAAAATATGGGTACTAACTTCCAAGTCTTGTGTTCAAGATACTTCATGAAGTGTCTGGCATATACAATAGTAGGAATGTGAGTACTTTTTGGGTGAGGTCAGGATAAGAAATAAAGGAGGGACTATCTGATGAGCAACTGAAATGTGGAGGTGACCTCCGGAGAGCAGTGGAGGGTTTAGCATCACTCATGATAAAGTAATGATAAAAGGCATGAGACCAGTAGAAAATGCCAAGGAAGAGGATAAAAGGATGAAAAATTTAACTCTCAATTAAATCTATAATTAGGGGCACAGTATGAAATAAAAACAACAAGAAATGAAGAGAAACTGGAGCCAGAACAATAGAAATTGTAACAGGGTGCTACATACTGCAAAAGCCAAGGCCTAACAACATTCCAAAAAAAGATTGGCGGTGGATTGCTGGAGCCAGGTCACACCAGCTCCCCAGAGCCCACTGTTCACACAGCCTCCCAACTCCATGTTCAGTGACATATGGGGACACTAAAATCATCCATGTTGGAGTATCTACACCTTAGAAATTGGCAACAGCTACAATTGAAAAATAGGTTGCTAAACATGTACTAACATGACAATCACTTAGGACATCCCTTTTCTCTTACCTCCTCTGCTACTCCTAACATCGTGTAATGTGGAAACATGAAGGAAAACTGAAAAAAAGTCAGGATCTGGGCAATTAGTCTTTGGAAACTTTGGAGAAGGCAGTTTAAAGAGAGGTGTAGGGAAGACTTCAGGAATGAATAGAGGTCAAGGAACTAAAAGGCAGACAAAAAATGGGTCACATTTGGAATTTGAAAGTTAAAGAGAGACAAAGCTAGAAGGAGAAACAGTGAAAAATAAAAGTATCTTTAAAAGGGAAAATATATAAAAAGTAATATTCTACAATGAAAAGGAAGGTTTGTTTTAAGTCCTAACTTTGCTAGATAGAAATTTTAGGGTTGTTGAGAATTAAAGTGACAGCATATATAAAACACTCAAGAAAAAAAGAGTTAAATTTCTTTAAGTAGAAAACCAAAGGGAAATATTAAAATTATTATAGAGCAAGGGTAGGTAATTAAAGGGCAAGTATCAAGAAAAAATTGAATGGGAATTGGATCAAAAGTAAATGTTTTAGTTATGTATCTTTACACACTGATAAAAAATGTTAAATTTAGGGAACTATGTTTTCTTTTAATAAGCAAATGTCTGTCAGATATGGTAAAAATAACTTTTTCTTTATTGAAATTTGCCTTAACAATGTTTCACAAAGTCCAGCTTTCATCAATGTAATAAACAGTTGTTTATGATATAGATATGACATTCGACCTCAAGCCCTTAAATACTTATATTTTATTTCTTTTGGCATTTCTAATTATCTTATGTCATTTTAGTTTTCTTACTCAGCAAGTAAACATATATTATTAACGGCAAAGACACAAAATGTAACTTGAATGTATTAATTAACTACGGACTTTATAAAGCTATGTTAAAAAATACACACACATCAAGGCCACAAAGAATTCTAAACTGTGTGGTAAATTAAAGAGAAAATGAAATGATTTTCTCTGGAAATGTTTGAATGAATAAAATGAGTAAAATAAACAATATCCTTTCCAAAATAACCTAGTTAAGTCCTCCAAAAGCTGGAAATGAGTGGTGGACTGCCAGGATCTCTTCCAGGTTTATATTATCATCTATCTATTCAGTGGTTTTAAAATAGTTCTTCTGCTCTTGCTCAATGTTATGACTTAAGGGAAAATATTCAGAAACTGCACTAATGCTTTAACAAATCAAAAGGAAAGCGTGCTCCTGAGGATTTGCTTTGGTAGAATTATTCTTAACCACAAAATAATTCCGCTCATCTGTTTCACTTCTGTCACAAATATTGGACCCTCAGTCACCATTCTTACCCCTCTACTCTAGATTTTTAAGTAGTAACTTCATGGTGTTTCCGGTTCATCTTTGAATCAGAAGAGTAAGGCTGATCAAAATGCAGAGTTGTTAATTTCTCATTTCTGTGCTTTGATCTCTTTATGGAGATCATCAATAATCATTTAATCTATCAGAGTTGAGCAGTTTTCCGAAGTCCCAGCATTTGTGTGGGAGGAATATGTGTTGTTTTAGTTTATCTCCTAGGTACTAGAGGACAAAGACAAAGGTAAAGGGGCAATGAAAAAGTGATAAATGAAACAACAAAAGAAAAGAAACCTGGATAGAGATTTTAAAAATGAAGTTTTTCAAATTTAGAGTGCTTATTTCCAGAAGCCAGTAAGATTTTATAAAATAGTCTAGGTAATAAAATGAAACATGGATAAAAGCAATTCAGATTGGAGCATAACAGCTATGTATTTCTTTTGAGCTTGTAAAATATGAATAGCATAAAGGAAGCAATTAGTTTTAACTACCTTTGAATAATTACATTTTACTACATTAAAGGATTAATAATCCACTTACTTTCCTCATAAAACTATAAAAGCAATGTTCCATTTTTAGTACAATTAGTTGCAGAGATATTAAGGCAAATTTGCCTTATTAATGATTATTTATCATTTACAATTTCCAGGTAGTCCTTCTAGCACCTATAATTGGTAAGTTCATAAATGTTGTTGAAGAGGAAGTTGCCATTATCTTCAGAAGAGAATATTAAGGGTCCCTATTTCCTCAGAGGGAAGATGATATTTGCTTAAAACTTGACATAAGATTCTCTTGGAAAAGACTCTAAGTCAACCAAGCTTTGTTTGTTCTAGGAATAACCAACCACTTGGAATGCCAGGGCTTAAAAATGAGCCATAGGAATATGGAAGACCCATGCCTTGTTAGTACATTTGCTCAAAATAGTATAACATCATAAGAAAATGTGCTGGTCAAACCATTCTCACAAATTCCTAGTTAGGAAGATTCCAGGCTGATTCCTTGTCATCCAACCCTCAATCTCCACCACAACTTTATATTAGTGGAAACTCTGAACATCATAGTTTAAAGAAACTGAGCTTCTCTAATCCAATCTTTCAATGTGGAGGTAAATGAGAGAAAATACAGGGTGTGGCAAAGTAGGTTTATAGTTGTAGTATGTGAAACACAGTTTATTCTTGTGTTATTATTTATTAGTTATTGCATTATTTTCCATACAAACATCAGTAAACCTACTTTTGTCCCATCCTGGATAGTGGTAAGAGCTCTGCATTTAAAGAACCACATCATGGGTTTGAATCTAGACTTTTGACTTACTAACTCTAGGATGTTGGATAAGTTTCAAAACATCTCTACACCCTTATTTCCTCCTACTGTAAAATAGGAGGTGGAGAGAAAGGGTTCCCATAGCCATAAAAGCACTGTCAAGTGTACAAAGTAAGCAGTCCTGAAGGGTCCTGGCACATACTAGGTGCTTGATTAATGCTAATTGAAATTTGTACTCGAAATGAAGTTAAATAGCAAAGTCGTGGCCAAACATTTAGAAAAGGAATCCAGGTCACCTAGCCATAAATCTAGGGCCAAATCACTAAGATATTCCCATGAATCTACCTCAGTATTAAAGCAGTTTCAGTAAGTGCTGATTTGTGTCTTATACTTAGGTGGACTTTGGTTTTATGAAATTCATTATTGTTTGTGTTCCTTAATAAATCTTGATATAAAAAATCTAAATCAAGTATTAGTGTCTCAAAATACATTCTAAAATCTCTCCATAATATTTAGCCTAATGTGATTATTATTTCTACTTGATATTCAGAGTGGTAATGAGACATACCATGTATAATTAAATAAAATATCATAGAAATATAATGCTTAGCCCCCTTAATTTTACTTGTGATCTCTTTTTTTCTTTGTTCCATCGTTCCAAATAATGGAGTCTTTTTGGAATTAAAGACTGTAGCAGCAAGATGTAAAGTATTGCAAAAACTAGACAATAGTAATCTAAATATTATGTCACTATGCCAAATCTCTAGTACAAACAGCAAAGATTTAGTGAACTGTTATGTACACTTGTAGGTACATTTCCATATAATACTTTTCCCTTTTTAAGGAAACTGCAAATATATGTCTTACTGAGAAGAACAGCAAACTATAGATTTAAGTGCCATGGCTAGAACTGAACCAGTTCCAGCAGATGCAGACAATGCCACGTGTTTGTAAGCAG